TTTTCTCATCTAAGAGAAATATTAAGAATAAGAGGGCCAAATTAATTAGCGCAGCTTCGTGCACTACGTCCATCTTTCGGACAAATTTATGTACATGTTAGCCTGGGACCTGTTGCAAGGTCTCCATGAGTGTCTCAGATTGTGGGGGGTCCAATCACCCGGGTGGTTCTGGACCGGATCGTTCTGTTTCTGAGGTTCTGTTTACAGCACCTCTCCAGTTTTTGGTTTCATTGTTTCAAACCGTTCTCTGTAACACTGCTGACTGTTAGAACCAGGTCAGCAACACCGACCTGTTCAACAGCAGCTCTTATTCTGTTCTAATGTTAGAAAGACCTGTCGGATCTTCTGAACCAGAACCTGATCCAGGTCTCCTCACGGAGCTCAGATGTTGACCGTCTTGTCTCGTCCCAGGAGGACTATGACCGGCTAAGGCCTCTGTCCTACCCGATGACCGACGTCTTCCTCATCTGCTTCTCCGTGGTCAACCCAGCCAGTTTCCAGAACGTGTGCGAGGAGTGGGTTCCTGAGCTGCAGGAGCACGCCCCCACCATCCCATACCTGCTCATCGGCACTCAGGTGAGTCCGCACCATCTTCTGGACGAAGACATCCAGAACCTTTTCTGTTCCAACTCCTTTCTGTTTTGAATCTAAAGAACAGACGCAGATCAATGAGTTTAGGATAAAAGTCAGAAAATGAGCAGTACTAAAGGTCCACTAATAAGAACCAGACACTGTTTTGTATCTGGATAAGAGAGTTCAGGACCTGGGTCCAAAGAAATCTCAACACTATCAAGGCATTCTGGAGCTAAACCCAAAACACACAGCTAAAAACACCAAGGCTGGCTCAGAACTAAAGACTGGACTGTTATGGAGTCCTTCTGAGTCCTGACCTAAATCCTGTAGAACGTCTGGAGAAGGAACCTTCAGACATGAGACAGCTGGAGCAGCTTGATCAGGAGGAGTGGGCCAGAACACTTGGAGACAGGTGGACCAGAACTCCTGTGGACAGGTGGAGCAGAACAGCTGTGGACCAGAACAGCTCCAGAATTGCACCACTCAAGGTGGCTGCA